TTTTGATGGTGTTGCAGCATCCGAACCAGGAAGGTGACAACGCATGCCAGAACAGAAGGTCCTGCTTAATCTTCAGGAGCAGGGGGGCAAAGTTGAGCTCATATAAACATTGAGGGCAGCTGATTTGGAGGAGTTAATTTTAAAATTTTAGAGATGGAGGTGTAGCGATCCATTTCCCTCATCAGGATTGGAAGGGAGGAAGAAGGGTCAGCTATAAAGAAGATCAAATCATCCGCGAAGGCGGCTACTCTGTGGTCACCAAAGAGTTTTATCAGGCCCCGCAAGCCCTGTAGGGAGCGTATGCGACAGAGGAATGGTTCCAAGGTGAGGATGAATATGAGTGGGTAGAGGGGGCATCCCTGTCGTGGGACATCAAGCTCCCAACAGCGAGGGGGTTCGGGGTGCCGCTGTGGGGGCATATGACCAGTCTGTAATGGCAATGAAGGATACAGCAGGAAGGTCAGGGTTCGCGGGGGTAGAGGGGTCGGCTCCTTGGGGTCGCCAGGGAGTTCCAGCCAATTTGGGATGTCCACCGGGTCCGCATCTAGGAAGCGGAACAGGGTCGGGAGCTGATCGGGCGTGTGTAGCTGAAAAATGGAGTCATCCCGCCGGACGATGAGGTGGAATGGGTGCCCCCAGCGATATGTGGCAGAGGTAGAGCGGATGAGGTCTTGAAGAGGACGGACCAATCGTCGCATGCGAAGAGTATGGCGGGAGAGGTCTGGCATGATGCGGATGGTAGCGCCATCAAAATCAAAAGGGCCCTGTCTCCAGGCCTGGCAGGCGATCTCTTCCTTCAGAGCGAAAAAATGCACCTTGCATAGAACGTCTCTGGGTGCGGAAGGTGTAGGGGGGCGAGCACCAGCAACCCTGTGGACCCGGTCAAGTTCCAGGGCTGCGTCATGAGGTTTGCCTAGGAGGGTGTTGAGGATGGCCACCACAGTGTCCCTGAGATGGATGCCGGTCGTGGCCTCCGGGATGCCCCTCAGGCGCAGGTTGTTCCTGTGGTTCCGGTTTTCGGAATCATCTAGGCGGAGGTGCATCGATAGCAGGCGGGAGCTGGTCAGCTGGGCGTCCGCTTCCAGGGCCTCCATTCTGGCCGACATAGAGGCGGTAGCAGACTCCACCGACGTGACGCGATCATCTACTTCTGTGATGCGGTGAGTGAGATCGTGTAATTCCTTTTTCAAGGCTGCTATGATGGAAGACGCCATGTTGTCTAGGTCCCGCTTGGTCGGGAGCTGCGGCAGCAGGCCTTGTAGGCCGCCTTCGTCCTGGACGTTTAGGCCCGCCATGTGTGAAAAAGGAGAGGGGCCAGGTGGGGAGTCCGGCCGCGGCATGCCCGGTTCGAGGGCTGGGAGCAAACAGAGTCAGGAGTGTCCACCAGCTCAGGGGTCTGGGACATAGTGCCACGTCCCAACTTCTTACTTGAGAGGAGGCCGGCCGCTGAAGATCGGGTGAGCGCCATCTTGGACGGGGACGAGGCAGCAGGGGCCGGAGAACGCCGGGCGAAGAGGTCGTACAGCAATGGAGGGCGGAGGTCACCGTGGGTACCGTGTGTCCTCCGCTCTTTGGGCATGGAGAGAGTGAGTAACGTTAGGACGTAGTGTCACCTGAAATCGTAGGTCCGGCATGGCGGCTGCAGAGCTCCCCTGAAGCATGTCTTCACAGCGCCATATCCAGGCCATGCCCCAAGTTAAGACTTTTACCACCCTGCAGCAGGCTCTGCAGTATCTACGGGAGACACCTTCAATGATGTTCTTTTGAGATGTGCTCTGTGGATGTTTATACTTTCAAAATTATATTTGGTATTATGTACTTTACCTTTATGCTTTAACTGCTTACACCATTATAGGCGGGATGAGATCTTGGAAGCTTTTCGATGTGTTGAAACATGCTTCGACTAGCCATGCATATTCGGCCAGATAGCAATTGCTTTGTGAATAACATGCTCCCTCATCAGGAAAAAATTGAGTCACGTTCAATTCTGCATTAGCCCTTTGAATCCCAAGGAAGTAAGGCTTGCGTTAGAACAAGACCGTTTCGAACTGGCCAGCTCAGTAAACCTTACATTCTCAGCATTCCCCCATCTGCTGTAAACTAAGCCACTGTCAGAATACAATGCAAAAGAGTAAGGGATTCCTCTATCCATTCCTATAAGCGTTGATGGAGGAATCTCTTGTATGATCTTTATTCAGCCCGCAAGTTAAACAAAGAAAATACAACCGTGTATATCCACCTTAAAATGCTACTCCCCTGCCACCCACACTGTTCCTCCCACTGTGTTCTGTGTCCCTTTTGATGCCCTCTCTGGTGCTGAATGAACAGGGAAGTGCCCTGTACTTCACATTCCTGTTTTTATTACTCAGTGCTGGGCCTGCAAAAGAGAAGGAGATTGAGGACTCTTTCTCCTAGTCAAACGTAAAATGTCAGCAGTTTGTATAGACCCCTGATATTTCCCAAAAGTCCACTAACAAGATTGTAAAAAAAAGAAATAAAAAAATTAAGAATAATAACAAAAAATAAATAAAAACAATAAGACAAATGACATACATTACAGTAATGCATGTGTTGGTGCACTAAAGGGCCCACACACAACAGCTGACGCACATGCTGTTTTGCATAACTGGCCATAGGGCATGCCGGGCCAAACAAAATCAGCTGGTCGGCACAGGAGCCAAAGTGAGGACACAAGAGCCAGGCACAGGAGCCAACTTGAGGACTCACGGGCCAGACTGAGGGGAGACACAGGCAGGGCCACCATCAGGGGGGTATGGCCAATACTCATATGAGTGGCCCAGACCCCTTAAATGCGTATCGGCCGCACAAGGGGCGACATGGCAGAGGGAAGAGGTAAAGGCGGCTGGGCTCTGTGGGGTCTCAGGTGGGTCCGGCGCGTTACCAGTCCCTGAGTCTTGCGCGTTACTAGTCCCTGAGTCCGGCGCGTTACCTGCCCCTGAGTGCGGCGCGTTACCTGCCCCATAGTGCGGCGCGTCACCAGCCCCTGAGTCCGGCGCGTCACCAGTCCCTGAGTCCGGCGCGTCACCAGTCCCTGAGTCCGGCGCGTCACCAGTCCCTGAGTCCGGCGCGTCACCAGTCCCTGAGTCCGGCGCGTCACCAGTCCCTGAGTCCGGCGCGTCACCAGTCCCTGAGTCCGGCGCGTCACCAGTCCCTGAGTCCGGCGCGTCACCAGTCCCTGAGTCCGGCGCGTCACCAGTCCCTGAGTCCGGCGCGTCACCAGTCCCTGAGTCCGGCGCGTCACCAGTCCCTGAGTCCGGCGCGTCACCAGTCCCTGAGTCCGGCGCGTCACCAGTCCCTGAGTCCGGCGCGTCACCAGTCCCTGAGTCCGGCGCGTCACCAGTCCCTGAGTCCGGCGCGTCACCAGTCCCTGAGTCCGGCGCGTCACCAGTCCCTGAGTCCGGCGCGTCACCAGTCCCTGAGTCCGGCGCGTCACCAGTCCCTGAGTCCGGCGCGTCACCAGTCCCTGAGTCCGGCGCGTCACCAGTCCCTGAGTCCGGCGCGTCACCAGTCCCTGAGTCCGGCGCGTCACCAGTCCCTGAGTCCGGCGCGTCACCAGTCCCTGAGTCCGGCGCGTCACCAGTCCCTGAGTCCGGCGCGTCACCAGTCCCTGAGTCCGGCGCGTCACCAGTCCCTGAGTCCGGCGCGTCACCAGTCCCTGAGTCCGGCGCGTCACCAGTCCCTGAGTCCAACTTCTATACTGTTCTGAATTGCTGTATAATGTATTACTGGGATTTGTTGTCTCTCAGCCGCTGCCATTCTGCAATTGAGTGTAAGCTCCTCTGTACAGAGACCAATGTGACTGGTTCAGTGTTCTCTGTATAGCACTGTAGTATGTGTATGAGCCAGGGGCAGACTGGCCATAGGGCATACCGGGCACTCTCCTGGTGGGCTGGGCAGGGCAGAACACAATCAGCCTGATTGTGGTCGGCTCCGCCTGGCCTGCTATACCCAATGGCCTGCTCCAAGCAGTGCCAGCGCTTTCAGGCGGCCGCATAGGCAGCCGCCTGAGAGCAACGAGTGGGGCGAGGGGATAGGTGTGCGGCTGGACTTGAAAAGGGAGCCCAAGAGTGTAGTATACCCAGGGGCGCTATGGAGCCCGGGGTGCAGGGAAGCCCGGCCAGGACCAGGTAAAGGGGTCCTCTCAGGGGCGGACTTGGGGGGAGGGGGCGCTGTACTGTTCCCCAGGCAGCACGGAGGCGCTGGGGCTCTCAAGCCTGTGGCCACTGCAGCGTTGTTTCCTCCAGTCCTACACGCTGTGTACAATGCGGGAGCTCTAGGAGGCGAGGCATCGTGCTAGCTCCCGGACTAAACAACTGAGCAGGCTGCTGCAGTGTGTGAGTAGAGTCTGGGTATAGGGGGGTAGTTGGGTGGTCGCTATCTCTCTCTCCCTCCCTCCTCCGAGCCAGTATAGATCAAGAGGAACCCGTATGAGTGTTTTGTTTTTTTTAAATCGCCCTGAATGTCCCTCTCTCTGCATAGTGGAGCCCTGAGCCCATTGCACCATTGCGTTGCAGAGCCCTGAGTCCATTGCTTTGCAGAGCCCTGAGTCCATTGCTTTGCAGAGCCCTGAGTCCATTGCTTTGCAGAGCCTTAGGTCCATTGCTTTGCAGAGCCTTAGGTCCATTGCTTTGCAGAGCCCTGAGTCCATTGCTTTGCAGAGCCCTGAGTCCATTGCTTTGCAGAGCCCTGATTCCATTGCTTTGCAGAGCCCTGAGTCCATTGCTTTGCAGAGACCTGAGCCCATTGCTTTGCAGAGCCCTGAGTCCATTGCACCTTTTTGTCGCACAGCCCTGAGTCCATTGCACCTTTTTGTCGCACAGCCCTGAGTCCATTGCGCCATTTCATTGCACAGGGTTAACGTGTAAAAGCTTGAATGAGATTTTAGTGAATCAGAATAGACATGCTTTTAGACATGAATATATGTACGAAAGTGTGAACAAAATATTTTATGCAAATTCGTATTCTTGTCTGTGTTACAGCTTTCTGGTGGGTGTGAGCTGACGGTGGTCATCCAGGATTTCACTGCTTGTAATAGTAATGAATTGACAATACGAAGGGGACAGACTGTTGAAATTTTAGAGAAACAACACGACCGATCTGAATGGTGCCTGGTTCGAACTACTGACAAATCGCCAGCTGCAGAGGGCTTAGTTCCTTGTAGCTCACTTTGCATTGCACACTCAAGGAGCAGCATGGAAATGGAAGGCATATTTAATCACAAAGGTAGAGTAAAATAAAACCTATATAAAATTGGTGCAATAGGTTTATTGAGACTGTATTGGATTCTCTCCCTGGGTACTTTTTATTAACTCATAAAGCCTTTCATTTATTTGAATGTTGTTACAATTATTTATTGAAAAAAAAATAGATGTTTTAGAATGCTTATATAAAGACATCTCAGTAATGCCCTTTTTCTGCACAACGATTCCGAAGTAATTAATTTATGAATGATTAAAATTTTTTATGAAATCTTATGTTTCTTCACATGTCTTAACATTCATATCATTGTTCAATATAAAGGTAGGGTAAAGGATTGGATCGCTCATGTAATGCTGCTCTGGATGGCTGTAGCTTGAATGGTCCATGAAGTGTTTTCCATTATCAACACTTTATACCCAATTGCCTTGTGCCTTATTTTGGAACAAATTGTATTGGAGGAGATGGGCTATTTGCTTTTTGGGGGGGAGGTGGATGTATAGTAGGAAACTACCTTAAAGGGGAGTTTGATGTGTAGATTTGTCTTGTATTGGAGGAGATGTTGTCTTGTATTGGAGGAGATGATTTTGGAACAAATTGTGACATGCTACGATGATGAAGGAATGCACTCCCGCCTTTTAAACTAGGATGGCGAGGAATTACAAGGAGGTTTTTGTAGATTTATATAACCATCTGAGTGTATTTGCTCGGATATATATGCAATATGTATTGGTACCCTGTTATGCTTGATTCTTGTCTAGCCTCACAAAGAATTGATATGTGGCGATACAATCTTTCCTTGTTATAAATGGGTTTGACTTTCAGACATTTTACTGCAACATAGTAATGATGACTGCATCTTTCATTAACGTGGCATGGATATATTTGTGAAGAGATGAGTAGTTATGCCGAGATAAAAATGCTATTTGTTTGCTTTTTCCTTTTTGGCAGATAAATTCATAATAAAGGTTGTTGTAAGGTTAAGTGAAGGCACAAGCAGATACCCATTATTATTGTAATTCATTTTCCACATACAAAATGTCTGTATACAATACATATGTTTGTCATACATTACATTTGTCTTCCAAGGTTTGTAATGGAGAACGTAAAGGCTGACAGAAATTGAGCAAGATCTGATGTGGTTTGTGGTTCCAACACACTTTTCAGGGATTAAAGAACAGCATCCAACATCAAGAGATACATAGTTAAATAGTCAGGTTGAAAAAAGACACAAGTCCGTCAAGTTCAGCCTATAGAGATAACAGAAAGAAAAACCTAAAACAGAACGCTATGCCCAGGGTTACCTTCTGTTACAACACAGGAAGGGAAAAAAACCCTATTAGGCATAGTTCAATTTGCTCCAACAGGAAAACAATTCCTTCCTGAACCCATAAGACAATTGGATATTGCCTGGGTCAACAATCTCTGGTGCTTAATATACTTATAAGAAATCAATATCCGGGGGCGTGGCTTGCTCATGGCCGTGGACGGACGCATGTAAAGTGTGCTCCTGCTATCCACCCGGGAACGACCGCCAACAGCGCAACACAGCTCCCTCTCCACACCTGTCATGGGCCGGTCGGGTAAGAAGGGAGGTCGGCAGAGTGCCAAGTCCTCTGCCCCTGCCATCGGGCCGAAGATCGGGGCCTACTTTAAAAATTCGGGCCTACTCGCGACCCATTCCCCGTCGGATCGAGGTGACGCGGCGGGCTCTGCGACCTCCTCGCCGCGACAGCTTCCATGCCAAGGGGACTCGGATTCCTCTGTGACTGGGGATGACGGAGCCTCGGTTCGGGGTGAGGACATGTTCCAGCGCTATTTTGCGCTCCTACCCACGAAAACGGAGCTGGAGGGCCTATTCTCCCGCCTGGAGGCATCTCATAGCCGAGACATGGCGGCACTCAGGGAGGGTATGGCCGGTTTTGGGCAGCGGCTAGAAGTGGTAGAGACACAGGCTGCAGCTGTCTCCCACTCCGTTCAGCAACTACAGGGAGAGGTGAGCAACCAACATCTCCTTCTTCAACACCTGAGCCTGCAGCTAGACGATCAGGAAGACCGACATCGCCGCAACAATATCAGGCTGCGCGCCATTCCTGAGGCCACAGGTATGTCAGACCTCAAAGCAACAGTCCAGGGAATCTTTAATACGCTGCTGGGCAATTCCCCTACCCATCCCATTGAGCTGGACAGGGTGCATAGGGTGCCGGGATTCCGTAATCCGGCTCAGCAGCACCCCAGGGATGTTTTGTGCAGAGTGCACTTTTTTCAACAAAAGGAGGCCATTCTGTTGAAGGCCCGGGAGGGCGGGCCGCTGGACTTTGATGGAGCCCAAATTACCCTCTTTCCTGATCTGTCCCGCAACACGCTGACCAGACGCAGGGCCCTCCGGCCTGTGACGCTGATGCTACAGGAACGGGACATCGCCTACCGCTGGGGCTATCCCTTTCATCTAGTGGCCCGACAGAATGGCAAGTCACACATCCTCCGCACACCAAGTGATCTTCCGGGCTTCCTTCGGGCTCTACAACTCCCATCGGTGACCCTGGAGGGATGGCCTGATCCAGCATCGCCGGTTTGGGCCTCTGCGCCCCCTGAGTCCACATGGATCCCGGCCCAGTCCCAGAGGAAACGCCGACGCAGACGACAGGAGGCCACATCCACCCCTA